CGCCCCCTCCCCGGGGGGGGGGGGGGGGGGGGGGGCTCCGCGTCTCAAATGCACAGCAGCAGCTACACCACCACCCGGGCCTTACCTATCAAGGTAGACGAAGGTGTGTGTCGGTGATGCCTGCCCCCCCCGAAGAAGGACCTGGATGAGCATGTTAGACCGCCAGCACGGGTCGACGGGCGCCTGCTCCGCGGTGTCTCCATCAGCAGCAGCAGCAGCAGCAGCAGCAGCATCACCACCCTGGGTGGTGGCGTCATCGAGCGCATGATCTCCGTCGAGCCAGGCCTGAAGGTCCTCCACGTCCTCTCGGGAGGAGACGCGACTCGACAGGTCGGCTGGGGCGGCGGAGGAGCGGCCAGCGCGGTGGTTGTCGGTATTGATGGGGGGCTGTAAATAATACCGTAGATCGTTCGTCCTTTTCACAAGACACTTATCCGGGAAGCTTGGCTAACAAGAGGTGGTGACATTCCTTGCTTACTGACTTCTGGCAACCTGTGACAAAGCTGTAGTTACTTGTCACCAACCCGGCAGAGGTCAACAACAAGGCCTGCAAGACTCCTATCGCTCTTCCACCAGAGCAGCACCTCTCTCCCTCCAATATGCCAAACACCCCAAAGGAAACGCCGCAGGGACCAAACTCGCGGGAGGAATTCCAAAAACTCTCCCGCAAGAAAAAGAGCATCACCTGCGATCCGCTGCAAACTCGCGGGAATCCCAGTGGCTCCGTCCAAGTACGGGCATACCGGTGTCGGATCTAGCGGCAAGAGTGGCCAGAGGGCCTCCGGCAACGTCTTCTTGATTCTGCAGAAAATATAGAATCAAGGGGGGGGGAGGGGGGATACTCATGTAAACGCATGCCGTAGTTATTAGACCATCGACCTCCCATCCTGCAATGCCGGGACGGAGCGATACTGTATGCCGGGTTTTCGCCGGTCCAGGCTACGTTTCATAAGGAGGAGAGAATATGCTTGCACCTTACACCTTACACCAAGCAGCAGCCTCACACAACAGACCCAGCGTGTAGAACTCGCAGCAACAGCAGTGAGGAACACGACGGCAAACGGGTTCACCGCACCAACGCCCATCGCCCAAGCCCTTGCGACTCGAAGTATGACGACGGCTTGACCGAGATCAAATGAGTGTGATCATTCACCGTCCCCGCTTTCTTTCTTTCTTCCTTCCTTTCGGGTGTGTGTGTGTTTTTTTCGCCGCTGAGCCCCCCCCCCCCCCCCCCAGACACGCCTGCAAGTACCTGTCGGTGTAGCTCAGCTTCACCAGCGCAGCCAGGACGTTCGACACGAACACCCTCTGAGCGTTGTCTGGTTGCAGTTCCACCACGTTGCACCAGTGCTTCCAGAAAGGCCACTTGTACTCGGTGTTCTTGAGGTGGTCGGCGAACCTGTGGAGGCGTTACATCAACAGTCGCAGCAGCAGCAGCAGCAGCAGCAGCAGCAGGCGGTAGTGTGAGAATGATTCTGCGTCTCCCGTACCCCAAAACAAGTCCCCGCGGCACTAACCACTGCCCTAGGTATTGAATACACGTCCGTCACCTCCCACATTGCAGCGCGTGGGAGGAATCGTACCATGGAATCGTACCGTACCGTGCACGTTCACGAGATGGGACGAAAACACACAGCCTCTCACCAAGTCCCGAACCGTGACGCCACCGTGGAATCAAGTCGTTCCAGCTCGTCGAACAGCCGCCCCGTGCAGTACGATACCGCGGCAGGAGCCTGCAGGTACATAGAGGTCGGGGCGTGGCAGCGGTGGCGTGGACACCAACCAGACCGCGTGCGGAGAAAGAAGATGAAGATCCGTGAGACGAGGCGAAGAGATACGTGGCGCAAACAGAACACATTCAACCGCGGCTTCAAGCCTCTGCTTCGGGGTAATATTGAAGGCTGCAACACCACCTGCGACGGGGTGTATTCCATGTGTGACCCGCGATCGGCGCTCCTCCGTCGGTGACATGTAGCTACGACAGTGGAGGAATTGCGCCGTGCGCTTGAGGAATCTGCAAGCGACGGCAAATAAATGTTGTTCTTGTCTTCACATTAAAAACCGTTCCGATCTCTCTACCCGTACTAGTCTGAACGCCTGACGCGGCCGGTTCCCGTGGTCACAGGCCAACTTACCCCCCAAAAAGGTGACTAAATAGAATGGACGCGAAATGAAGTTATAGAAGAAAAAAAGACAGCGTCACAGCGCTAGTGGATGCTCCAACACCGCCGAATGACACCGACCCACGGAAGCTCTTGTTGCAATCGATCTAGACAACCCTCGCTGAAATCGAACGTCTTCTCTGTGTAGGGACTTGCCTCTTTGGGCACGATGCGGCACAGCTCCAAGATCGTGCGGTGGCAGGAAATCGCCAGGTGCTCCGCCGCGGGTAACTTTTCGAGTCAAGAAAAAAAAATATTGCGAGGAGGCGTGATTCCCCAGGGGGGGGGCGGGGCGTTAGCACGACAACGACGAGGAAAGAAATTCTGAGGCTCTCGTGCCTTTAACCATCGCCAGTGGTGTAGCACGAACCAGCTGGCACGCCGTGTAAATGTTCAACGTACACGCAGTCCCTGGAGACCAAATCGAGCCATGAGACAAGAAGAGCTTGAGGCACTAGCCTGCTCCGGTGAGCTGCCCTGTGTCAAGCCCTCTCTTCTCCCATCCGGCACGAGCTACACTAAATACTCGCTGAATGAAATTCGAATAGACCTATCTTACTCCCACAAGATCCCATCTTACTCCGTCAACATCGTATCTTATACTCAGACAAGACAAGATCGTATCCCACTTCGGCAGGACCATACCTTGACCCAGATGAGACTCGACAACGTTGCACCATAACATCGTATCATAACATCGTATCTTACTGCACGACAAGAATCGTGGGGGGGGAGGGGTACAGCCCTTCCGTGCATACTTGTTGGCGATTTGCCGCAATACCCGAGGACGACAAGCAGCAGAGGTTCTGCACCCGTCAAAAAAGGGGTCACGAAATACTGTGTGGCGCTCTCAGTCTCACCTGGAGCATGGCCAGGAACAAAACCTCCGTGATCAGGTAGGCCACCTGGCACCCGCTCGGAGCCGAGTCGCGAATGCTGACCAGCTGGTCCACAAGCATGGCCCACTTGCCAACCTGTCCGAAAAATGACAACCACCAGCAGGGGCAAACTTGAGAAAACGACGGACAGCAACTTGCCGGAGTACAAGCCGTGAGAATCTCCGCTTGTTTTTTTTTAACTCGACCCATTTTTTCTGTTTATTTTTCACCCTCGGCTACTTTACAGGAACTTTTTCAGATTTAATGGTGGTTAACCCGTTCCGAATTGTTTTCCCCGGGTCGAACCACTTCCAGTACGAACGCCATGCAACACAAGAAAGGAGGGGTCGATATCTTCCGGCACACAGTGGGACTGTCAAACAAAGTTCTCTCGTGCTTCAAACGTAGCCACTGCACTGAAAAGCTCGCGCTAGCTCAACGCCCACGCTTGGCGCTTCGCTCCACGACCGTCTTCCAGTATAGTGCTATAATAGTACCTCTTGCTCTGAAAGAAGGGTCGGGCGCATGGGTTATAGACCTCACATCATGTGGATTCGGGTCGGGCGCATAGGCTAGACTTCACACTATGTGGACTTCGGGTACGTCCAAAGTTAAGCTGCGGCGTCGAAGTGACTCCCCGCGTTTCAATGCAATTGACTACTGTACTGACCTTCGTGCCATCGGCTCGACACACAGGCTGGAAGCAGGCCAGGATATCCTTGCAGTACTCCACCAGCACGACACGCTGTACAGTACAGTAGCGACAACAAAAAAAAGCAGACATGGGAGTCAACACAACTCAGGCCCATCATGTGGGGGCGCCACGATACTACCAAGGTGAACAACTGCGGCCGGGATGAATACTGTAAATAATTGATGCGAGTACCACAACAAGCAAGAGGCTTGAACAGTGTTTTGCTGCGTAGACAGAGCACCGAGGACAGGCACAACCACGGCTTGAACAGGCGTTATCCATCAGACAGAGCGCAGAGCACACATAAGCCACCCAACATCTCTCTGTAAGGGTGGCCGATCTATCCGTCGCAAAGGCCTAGTCGAAAAAGCGTCCATGTATATTTATCCAACGCTTGGCACGGGTGCTTGGCCTCCTTCTTAAACCTCCTAGTACCCAGTCCCTCCGCAAAAACAAATGCCGAAAAAATTTGTCAGCCATTGGTCGAGGGGCTACAGTCCCTCCAAAGAATCTGAGCTCCTTGCCAGATAAAGGGTGGCTTGGCTTCAGTATAAAAAGTGTCCCCACGTGTTTTGGGGACACTTTTCATACTGAAGCCAAGTCAGCAAATTGTTCCAGTACCAGGCGATGTACAGCTTTACGACCCAGGGGGCACGCGGGTTGGGAGATGTGCACAGCAAGTCAGAGGCCCAGGAGAGGCATCACACAGCATCATATCACACAGCGTACCACCTCAGCCAAGCATGGTAGACCAAGGGTTCTCACGTGCGTTTCACACAGCGGAGCCTATGTTGACTACAGTGCGGTAAATAGGCCTTTGAGAGCTGTGTCCCAAAGTGTCCCCAAAGTGTCCCCATTTGGGCTTCCAGTACTAGGAGGGTTAAACAGGATATCCGGACATCACGAAGCGAGTTCAAAGACTTCCCCCACCAAGAGCGATCTATACACCCAACGCTTGCCGCGCATAATGTGCCTGACCTCCTTCTTAGGCAGGAGCTCCGGACAGCAGGAAGCTGGTCCGACACCGTCATCCTCGTCGAACAGGTCTCGCTCTCCCATGATACCCAAAGCATAGCTCCAGTCGGGGCGGTCTGCGGGACTGTAGAGGCGAAAAAAAAGCGAAAAAAACAAAACATCAAAAACAAACAAAAAATCTGACCGAAAAAGAAGGCGGTCTGTGGGACTGTTGAAGCGAAAAAAAGAGAAACGAAATAAACCAAGCATCAAAAACAAAAAAGAATCCGACCGAAAAAAGAAGCCCGGCAGTGAAGACTGCTGTAATCGCCATCTGCGCATTCGTCCCGCACACCCTCTCGCGGCATTTCGGCAGCAAGGTGATTCACACATCCCAACGCCGCCAAAACCGAGCAACAACAACAACGACGACAACAACAGCGAGTCGCAAGCAAAACGAACAACAACAACAACAACAACAACGTCGTCTTCTCTATGTTCCTCCTTCGCGCACCCACCTCGTGGTGCCAACGTCCACGCCAGCGCAGGCGGCCATCTCGCACGGCCCCATGCCCGTCAACTCCGCCGGGATCGTATCCGAAGTAACAAAGTCGTCCGGCAGCGACAGGCTGCTGAGGTTCGAGAGCCTCGGCTCTGCCGTCGGGGTTTTCCACACCCGAGGCGTCGCCCGCGGCAGGTCGTCCTCGTTCCAGCCGCTGTCATGCAGCGCGCTCACGACCTCCCACAGGATGGAGAGGCTGTCCTCCATGGGCTGCTTGGGTTGGTCGCCTTGGCGGTCTTCTCCATCGGCCCCGGGGTTTCCACCCTGTCGCAGCAGGCGAGGCGCGAAACGGTCGGGGTTGTCTAAGAGGGGGAAGAAGGAGGGTGGACACTTGAAAAACAAATTGGTAAGGTGGATAGAGCGCAAAATGAGCTGTTGTATCCCCAGAGGACAAATAATAATGCTCCGCACTGATCTGCCTGCCATCGCGCTTGTTTGAGGATTTTCTGAGCCCGTTCCTTGTTTCCGTTTGATTGCTAGACGTGTGTGCCCGGTTATTGGGTAGTTGGCCTGCGACCACGGAAGGCGCCCGACTCAATTGGTCCAATACGGGTATTTCGAAGGTACTGAGAAGAGACTGGAACGATTTGTTCATGTACAGACAGCAACAACAACACGTGGGTTGGCACGTTTTTCATTGGCTAGCCGTATCGCGCGGTCCATGCTCACGAAAGACGTCGACGGACGTCCTTCTAAACTGGGGCAACAGGAGGTATTCAAGAACAAAATACACACACGGGACACACGTACACACCTTCCCGCGGTTACAAGAAAAAGGGAGGGGGGGGGCACTCACCGCAGAGGCTTGCGGTATTCTTTATGGCCTCCAATCGGAGCTCTTCTCACATGTGGACAGACAAAGGCTGCAGGTAAGCGTCGGTCCTCCGAGAGAACGGTGTGGACGGGAACCCAAAAATGAAAAAGAAACCTCTACAGCATGGAGAACGTCGCACGCACGCACACCTGGGCTTCCTCCTCTTCTTCGTCGTCTTCCGGCGTGACGAACACCGCTCTCAGGCTGTTGAGGCGGAATGGCGCGTGACGCCCGGACATGAACAACCGCAGCTCGTCCATAAGGTTGCTGAATCCCGCAACCCACGCCTTGAAAACAAGCGAGAGAGCAAACGAGATAAAAACAAAAACAGGACAAATTTGGAACCAAGAGAATATAAGCCGGGTAGCACATGTGACGAAAAATACAACTCATTTTGTCGAATACACCTGAAACTCGTTTTTCTCGAATAGTCCGCACCCGGCAGGAACAGACACGCCTCGGCGGCAAGAGTGTTAGAGAACAGACGCAGCAGAGACGGGGCATCAAACACATATCTCGCCCACGGGAAGATACTTGCTGTTGTAGCTATCGTCCGTTCGAAGTAGCAAGGACGGCCGGGTCGCCAACGACAAACCATCGCCGCAGCCCGAACCATCACCGCAACGTCATGAAGGAAAAATCCGCCCGACATACTATAAAATAACAACAAATCCCGGGCAAAAAAAACAGCCTTAGGATCACCGCAAGATTGCTTGTTGTTCTTGCCTTGGAGAGAGTGGGTCCGACGCGCAGAACGGCCGAGAGCACCATGTAGGCGACCATGTCGCGGCATGGCTGCCGCACTCGGCGGACCTCCGTCTTGACGTAGCCGGCGCAGAGCATGGCGAGCATGTCCCCGTACTCCTGGGCCTCCACTAGACCGCAGTTCAGAAGCTCTCCCAGGAACCGCAGCAGGAGCTTCGCCCTTATGAACCCGCCCTGCATTGACGTTGTACATCACACACACACTTTGAAACTTACATGCCGGCAGTTCGGAGGGTTTGTACTCATGTAACCGCATGCCGTAGACCTCGCATCCCTACAATGCCGAGACGGAGCGTTTTCCGCCCGCCCAGGCTACGTTGTTCCGCAAAGGATGGCGTTTCGGAGTCGAGGGGCCACAACTCTTTCGTGACGGCAGGCAGGCAGGCAGGCAAGCAGCCGCAGTGCAAAAATCGACCACCGTCACCGACGAAGCAGCTGTTGCGTCTCCGCAGGGGCAATCAACGCTACCGAGGGCGTGCGCGGCGTGCCTACCTTCCGAAGAGCCTCGGCGAAGGCATGGCAACACCCGTCCACCACCAAGCGCCCGAAAGACGGACCATCCTCCCGAGAGTCCGCCGCGTCGTCCGTGACCATGGAGTCCCTGGCGGTAGCGGCGTTACCATCATTATCATCACCCCCGCCGCCGTCCCCCCCGCCTTCCCGCTCACGGCTGCCGGAGCGCTTCGGCGACTTGGCCGACGCCACGCACAGCGCCGTCGTTAAGGCGTACACCTTTTGCGGGACGGTGATTTCGGAGATCGCACGCGGCCGAGCTCGTGTGTGTGAGAAGGGGACGACACATAACTACTGGTAAGGATTCTTGCGAAGACGAACTGACTACCGCGAGAGCGTTATACCTATGATATTTTCAATCATTTAGAACGAAAGCTGGTGGATGTATTGTAAGATGACAATATACCGTCCTATTCTTAACCGTCAAGTATGCCGGCTAGGGACCAACGCGGATGCATGACACGTGAAAATGGCACACGTTACACAGCAGCAGCTGCACTCCGTGTGGCATTCTGCACCTGTCTTCTCCGTGCTACAGTCATGTGATGAACGGGACTCTTTTTAGCCTGGGGAGTACAGAACGCGCCACAACTTAAGAAGGAAAGAACGAAAGAACCCCTCACTATGGCCGAGGATCGTTTCTCTCATGGGGAACCCCCACGGTGACTATATAGGTTCCAGTGTAGTATTCTTGACTGAGTACCTGTTCTTGTGGACAAGCTCTTAGAAATTGGACCTGATGAGGCTCAAGTCCTTCTTGACTGCGGATACAAGTTCTTCAGTGGTAGCGAGTTTCAGTAGTCAACCTTCGACCTCCAACGCAGGCACGCACGTGGTGAAATCAATGCCCTCTCTCACCGGCGTCTGGATGCTCAGCGTCCCTGCCGCCTCCACCAGCAAGGTGGCCACGTCCTCCATATCGGCGCCGCCATCTAGGTACCGCCTCGCCGACAGCATGCGGGCCAACTCCACGGCCCGCTCTTCCGGCGGGTCCTTGGCGTAACCGCTGCGGGGCTCCGCAGGCTGCAATTTTATTGGGGGCACACCCCGCACGTTGCAATCGATGATAAGATTCTTCATGCTCGAGAGCAAACAAACGGGTGCTAGTGCTAGCAGCTCTTGGCTATCGATGTTGGCGTCAACGTGTTCACTAGGGCTGCAATACAGCAGTCAGAGGCGTGCGGAGTCTCTATAATAGCGGCTTAAAATGTTGAGGACAAATTCATCTGGAGTTTTGTTCCAGGAGGACGTGGCGTTGGCGTCACTGCCGATGGCTATAGGGGAAACTTACCTTTGCCTATTAGTCCGTTCCTGAGCACACACATTCATCTACTCCTATTGTCTCCCGTCGACACAACCCCAAGTAGCATAGTTTTCTCCAACTTTTGCCTTGAATCGCCCCCCCCGTGTTTAAAACCCGAGAGGCCAGACAGAGGGGAATCTTGTACATGCATGCTTCTGAGATCTATCTGTGTGCTGCAATCCATGGGTGACCCAAAGGATATCACGCCACGCCTGTGACCGATTTTGCAAAGCTCGAAGGCTCCGAAGCAGGCAAGGTGGCGGTGCCGAATGTGGCGGCATTGGAACCTTCTCGTCGAGAGGGTTGCTGACAACGTATCATGTCATTCATACGTTCTCTTCATGTGGTGGTGGAGCACCGAGCCTTGACTAATCGGTACAAGGGGGGTATGGTATCTTGCGTCATCTGCTGTAGTCGAGGTCTACTGCTAAGCACTCTCTACGAACAAGTGAAGGAGTGGATAAAAGGGAGTCGTATGTACGTCCGAACGGTGTGAACTCAGCCCAGGACACGCCGACCCCCTCAGCACACACAGAAGAAAACGAATGAAAGCAACCGCCGGAGGCAGAGCCGTACCACAACATACATACCTCCGCAAGAAGTTGCTTGATTGCTCGTAGCTTTCCCGCTCTCGGATCTTCCCGCCCTCCGCTGTGCCGCCTGTTGCCATTGCCATAGGCGCTGCCGGATGAGTACCTCCGGCCCGGTGGACTCCGACTTCTCTCACGACTGACAGGCAATAGCAGCAGGAAGCAGCACTAGTGAGCGAGACCTATGAGCTGGCCCGAAGCGCTCGGTAGCTAGTGGACACTGCTGGAGATAGTCTACACATTTAAGACAGCAGGCCATCTTTCGAAAACTCTCTCACCTTCGCTTTGACATCTGTGTTCCCTGGTCACAACTGGTGGAAGTTGTGAGCTTAGAGGCCCGCCAGGGCGTGCGGTGTTTGCTTTGCTCGCTGTGAGTCGGTGCAGCGTGTAGCAAGCAAGGTCAGACTCGGCTGGGCCGCGCAACATCGCCCTGCAGTGGGGGCACCGTCTATCAACAACGCCTTGCTGAGGGGGGGGGGACCGTGGGGCAATCCCGCCATATCATGGTACCACACAGCACCACAGGACAGACAGCAGATGGCATGCCGTAGATATCAATTGCACCACCTCCAGGCTTCGTGATATCATGTCAAGCTCAAACCTGATGAGAGGTTCAGCTACCACCGACCAGGCTGAGCAGGCTTGGAAAGATATGAAAAGATGCGAGGCGGCGAAAACAAAGGCGTACGGATTGCGTGTGAAGAGGATTCTCAATGGATCCAAACAGGCGACGACAAGATCCGCACGAGGTACTTCGCGGTTGGAGCCCACAGGTGTCGAATCTCCAGCTTCAACGTTTAGCAATACCGGTGCATCTTGTTCTCGTGAGCCTTTCGGAGAAGGAGGGCAAGGAAAACCGATATCTACAGGTACATAATCCACGTTCTGATTCATATATAGGTGGCGGCAGTCGTGCGGGGGACAACATGTACTTGTTGTACAGGCACTGCAGTGCCGCCTCACCTGTGTTCCTACACTTAATTGTAGACTTGGGGTTGTCCTGTAAAGACATCAGTTGCGACTTGGGTTAGCAAGAACTACGATATGGTAAGGATGTGTGTCGTTGGTGCTGGCACTGCTCTTGAAGTATGTATGTGATGGTTGGCACACTGCTGGTTCTTCTTTGACTTGGTCGGCGGGCAAAACCTTCACCACAAAATCCTCCCGTTCGACGCCTTTCGCAGAGACAAGATCCCCGCACGACGTCGCCAGCACCTTGCTGACTAGCTGGCAAAAATACACGAACGGGGCGGCTGATGGTGACGTGAGCACTAGGAAAACTGCAATGCAGCGGCTCGTCAGCAATTTGCATGAGGTAGTTCGACAAATCGGCGACGCACCGACTCCAGCGCAGAGTGCGCCATCCTCTGGCCCGAACGAGGCCCCGGCTTCATTTCTGGAAGAAGTGTTGGCGCTGTTGATGGAAGACTTGGCGAAAGTGGTCTTCAAGGGTCTGGCCGATCCTGCCGAAGCGTGTCGGTGAGACAATGGTCATGATAATTAGGTTCTGATAAGGTCAGGAAATGTTGCTGATGGATCGATCTGCCCTTGGTAAATACGAATACCTTCGGCCACATGGTTACTGCTGTGACTTGCACTCGAAGACCGTAATATTATCCTGATATGGCTTCCGTCCAGCAAAACTTTGTGTTTTATTTCCCCACGCCTTGCAGGGAAGCTTCCATCAAAGCAGTGGCACTGTTCATGGAGCACGTGCCGGATCTCACACCACATCTGGCTTACCTGTTTCCTGTCCTGATGGCTCGTGCAGTCCCAGCGGGAAGTCTGTACGACCCATCGCTGGAACTTTTCGTCCACGATAATGACGAGCATGAAGCTTACAAACGGTGCGTTTTCCATATTAGGCATTCCCTTAGTGCATGATGTGGCTGCAGCTTTCTACGTACTATCCACAAATCCAGATCGGAAATTGCTATAAGTTAGTCTACCGAGATGCCTGACGTTCGGTAGTCATGAGAGTGACTACATACGGACGGTACATTCTCCAGAGGCGCATCGTTTAGCTAGTCTGCTTCTCATTCAAAACGATCCTTTAACTTTGCAGCATGAACCCATTGAGGCACGCGGTCCGGCCTGTTGTGCCGTGGCCTAGAGAACCTTTGGGTTAGAGTTGGGTTTAGGGTTAGGTTAGGGTTAGGGTCAATGACGAACCACGATTGCTGCCACTTGTACGCAGGGGAAGGGCAACAGAGCGCCAGGACCAGCATCTTCCGCAAGTCCAGCACATCGCAGAAGGGAGTGAAGAGCTGCGTCTGTCTCTCTGTCGAATGGTCGGTCGCATGCTGGGGAAACTTATGGACAGGGGTACGATAGGGGTGCTTCGACCCTATCTAGACGACACGATCCTGCTACTGGTGTCTCAATTCAGAGACCCTTACTCAGCGGTGAAGGTGGAAGCGCTATCCATCGTAACGACGCTGGTGCTGCATCCACATGTAGAACAGGTGAGAAGCGGATGTTCTGGATCCATTTGGTATCAAACACGTACTACTGTAGTTCCTCGGCGATTCAGCAACAAATCTGACGATGCCATCTTCATCTTGCTGATACACGCAGGGAATGAAATTCTACGCGGTGGGCATATCACGGGCGATTCTGCCGCACCTCCGGCACAGGTCAGTTCTTCTATTTTTACCCTGGGATACCTCAACGCATTCTCACGAGCCCCTGAATGTAAGACAGAGTAGGAGTTCGGCGGAGAATCTTGATCTTTCCGGACAGTGACCTGACCCTCACATCCTTCTAGCAGAGCTTGCGGTACCTTTCCGGTGGGATTCACCGACCTGCCACAGAAACGTTGTGTACGACTCGCCCATTACTTTTTGGACTTCGGGGAGTTGGCGAAGTTGAGTGAACGTGCAAGCGCCCAGTGACACCAGAACATAGTGCTTAAGGTATCCGACGCCACGGTTCATCGAACCCTTACCAACGATGAATGTCGTCCGATCGAGGTGAAGCTCGCACTCCGAGTACCGCTTTAACACCTAGCTCTCCATACGTTGTCGTCTTTGCGGCTTTCGCGCAGGCACGCCAAGGTACGACTCGCTGCGATAAAGGCGCTTCGGCTGGCTGTGATGGTCCCCGACCGAGCGAAGGTCAAGGGTGCTGGTACATCAGCTATCGTTGACCTCGTGGGGTTTCGAGAAGACAACGTGCTTCCTATAGCAGCGTTCTACGGAAGAGGAGATACAACGGTCAACTACCTCGCGGAGGTGAGGTACCTACCGAATAGGTAGGACCCTAGCAGAAGATTTGCTATAAATATATGAACACACGCCCATTTCTCAATGAACCTGCGCTTTTTGCCTTCGTCTCGCAGTTGACAACAGATCGAAGCGTATCGGTGCGGGCGGAGACGACCGCAATGCTGAGCGACTGGCTCACTTCTCTTCCTGACAGGTGCGCACTTGACTCACAGAGGTACAGTATGTGAAGGAGTGGACTGAAAGGGAAAGAAGTATGGCGACTATTTATTTTTTCTTTAGTTCTCACACCCTGAACTTCCGCGCAGGTACGACCACCAGACGAGACTCCTGCCCTACGTCCTCAACGCGATCGCGGACGAAGCTGAGGTAAGCCACGAGAAAGTCACCGCCGTTGAACTTTGTTGAGCAAACCTCCGTGGTTAGGTTGGTAATTTTCTCTCCACGTGGTTAAGAAACATCGAGTCCATTCCACCCCAGAAGCATCCAAACAAGAAGGGAAGATTATACTTCCCACAGAACGACGGCTACTCTTTCTTGCCAGGTGGTTTCAACGGTTGCAGTTGAGACCCTATCCAAGTGCGGGGCTGAATACGAACGCGAACACCAAGACGACATCATCGAGAGAAGGCAGTTTGGAGTCGATGGAGATATTCGCGCCAATCACACCAAGCCTCTCCCACACCCTTTCCCCGGACGGCCCAGAATTGGTGCCCGCTTGTACGTGCGCGGCAACACTAGGCGATTTCTCATGGTGAGCGATGTATGGATGTGATAAAAATATACATGACGGCGTGGCAGGGGATATTCATGGGAGTGCTGGGCAAAAATGGGCCTGTGCCTTGAGGGTGCAACGTGACTACATGTAAATAGACTGCCCTTTTGAATCTAGGAGACTCTCAGTTAATCTCACCAACACTCAGCGCTTTTTTCGCCCCTGCTTTCGCCGACCCCCTCCGGCAGCCACTACTGGCAGAGATGTCCAACTGGATCAGCAAAACGAGGCTGCAGTCTGCGCTACTCTTCCGCACGCTGGTCGTCTACTGCGAGGAACACCTCACCGTGGAGACTCACAAGTTGATCCCGCACCTTCAGCGAGCCCTGCGTCTAGCCACCAACGAGAAGGTGATGTTTGCAGGTAGGCGTCGGTGCCTGCAAGCAAACGTCATCGTCGCACCGCAACAAGTTCTGCACTCATGGACATGTATGCATACTCACGTGCACATGTTGCGCAGGATCACCTTCTAGAGGACATTATCCTAGACTGCTGCGAACTGGTGGGGCGATATGTGGTCCCGGAGTCCTACCTGCCGCATATGCTGTCGCGCATCAAAGAAGAGCCCGAGGTTGACCCTACCGGAAGCAGGTGAGGGTGTGAGGTACACGTAGCTACATAACTACAGAGCGGGGATTTGTAAACATCCGTTGCTCGTGCTCCGCTTTAAAGGCGTCGCTGTCGTATACTCCCCAAACGGCGCAATCTATGTGTGGGTTGTTCTCTGACCGCTACTCGTCCGCTCGATCCCGCAACGTATGCACACCGGCAGAGCTACCCTGCTGTCAATCTTGTGGAAATTCATGGAAGGGGCCCTCCCGAAGGTTCTCGTACCACACACTTCAGACATCGTCGATGCTGTTACTGGTGAGCAGGTTGGACCAGTAACGACTCCATTTTATTGTAAGAGACGACGCCGTTAAAGCACGCCAACGTGCCTTTGTCCGGGCGTCTGTCACAAGGCTATTCGTTGAGAGCATAAGAGCTCATCTTTATGCATGACATTGAAGTGCACCCTCGGCTGCAAACGTGCGACAAGAGGAAACCAAATGGGTTAGATGTGGCAATGGCAATAAGACAAGCCTATCAACCACCGTCTGCACTCGCAAAGTGCATGATTTCGCTTGAGGAGGCCATGCTGCAACGACCTATGCACGGCAGGGAACGACATGCACTAAACGTGACTAGCCGTACGAGGTCTTGACAATTGGGGAAAGGGTCGGGAAAAAAGTAAACGTGAGTATAGGTTGTTCTTGAGGTTTCCAACGACGCACACAGCCACGAAAGATCGCCCTAAACCCTGTAAAGGAAACGAATTATCTATCGGTACTCTTGGCACACAGCACGGTACGAAGACATCGCAGGAGAGCCTGTACGCGTACGCGGCGCGACCATCAAGGCGCTCTCCGTGGCCGCCAGCGCCATGGCGGGACTTGGGCGGCAGGCCGTCGAGGAGGCTACGTTTGCAACCACTGGTCGCCTTTCATCCACTGGGCGCCCCATCAAGTCTGCCCTAACGTACCTGTTGGGGTGTAGGGGTTTGACTGGCTGCTCTCTTGCTGAGGTTGACCTAGTCCTCAGCAGCCTGGCGGAAGCTTGTGGCCTGGCCAGTGTGGAGTCACTGGTTACTGCCCATGCGGAAGAGCTCGCAGCAGGTGCATCCTCGGTGAGAAAATGAACCGGATCACTGTGAGACTAATCTGTAAACGCGCATGCTGCAGTCATTTTCATTGCTCCACCCGCCCGCGGGACCATGTACGATTGTTCACTCAGCATGACCTAGCCCGTCCTCCAATTCTATTGCACCTGTCGCGTATCTTGGTCGAGAAGGACTTTCCGATTGGTCCTGTCTGGACCAGGACGTGCTACCCACAACTGGTGCTGGAATCTCTGCTCGCTGTGTGTGCACAAGCACCAAAGACCTGTCCGGCGGTACTGCCGTATCTGCTCCGCCTCTGCGAGCAGATCGTAAACAAGATCGAGAACTTCCCCGTGAGTGTTTCCGTTTACTACCCCTGGCCCTACGTGGGTTCGGTCGTGGCATCTGGTTACGGCCTGTCGGGATGGGGTGTGTAGGCCTTGTCGATTCTTACAATCCCGGAACGACTAGTCTAGGTAATGAGCGAGTACCACGGGTTCTGAGGCAGACAGGACATAGTCGCTTGCGACGCGTTCAACGGAAGCCGTCAGTCAGACAGGGTTTGTTTTCCGTTCCAGATTCAGCATGAACAAGTTGCTTCCCGGTTGTATTGTGGCATAGCGCTCTTGGATGTTTTTGAGCCCGTGCCCGTTGTGCTTGCCCACGACACGGCAAGGGATTCTAGCCCTATGCTGCACCCCCAAATTTAGAATGTTGGTAGTTTGGCCCCCGGGGGACATTTCTCCCTTCAACTTGACCTGAGTGTGCGTCACAAGGCTATACTCTTCTGTCATTCTGTCCACTGGGCCCGGTGGGGCTCGCCACGCGCAGATTGTTTTGTCTTGAACTCGAATCAAAATACCTTTTGGTCGGCATGCCGTCGTTAGCTCATTTTCTCATTCATGGTGTGCATTCATCCGCACTGAAAACGACCCGTTTGCTGATGGTGTCTACAGGATGGGAACCAAGAAGAGGTATTGGCAACGTTTGTCGGTGCACTCGTCCTGAGAACAGCCCAAGTTTGGGAATACGGCGAGGGCTCCGTCCAAGCGGAAAGGAACGGAAAATCCCAGGAACACGCCGCCCGCTGTATGCTGAAGCTCGGTCTGAATACTTGCTGGAGCAAGACGCCTTTGCTGCGCCATCGCCAAATGGAGATGATCACGACGTTTATGGACAACAAGTCTTGGTGCCAGGTTTTGTCGACTTGTTCGTCACAAGCGGAACTCCCGGTCGAGGATATGATGGCCGCTGTCGTGGGGCTTCTGGATCACCCGCAAGCTCAGCACCAGGAATGTTGTCAGGCGATAACCCTTGTTTCCCAGCTCCTGAAAGTATCAAGCTGCTCGTCTTCTGACCAGCATGCCCACAGTCGTCAAGTCATTCCCTTCTCGCAGAGCGATAAGCTCGAAGAACTCGAGTGCTCCGTCATGGCCGCCAGCGCCTTCCCGTCAATACTCTCCAGATTGGATGACAGCAGTAGTGACGACGTGCGGCGAATTGCCGTGGAAGTTTTGGCGGATTTCCTCCCTTTCGTGCAACCAGATGGCTCCTGCGGAGAGGGGACGCGCCCTGCCGCGCAGAAAGGAGAAAGTGACGCTTCTTCTGCTGCCAACGACGCTGACAGGTCAGTGCTATTGCTGACGAAAAACGCCAAATGCTCCGTGCTTTTCCATGTCTCAAAAAGAAAGACCACAGACGTACAGTGAAAGCTTCGTCCGTGTGGGTAGCGTTTGTTGCGTGTTCGTGCACGCGTTCTTCTTGCCCTAACATGCGCGACATTCTACGATCCACAGAAGACAGCCAGCACAACAAAATAGGAGCTCACATGATCAGTGTGAGAAAGAAAAGATGTTGCAACTGCCTGGCATGGCGGGCTCCATGAAGTCGGGAAGGCCCGACGCGGGGGGAACGTTTGGTGGAGGATGTCTGTCCACTGCCTTAGTTCTTCGAGCAACCACACAGCGTTTTTTACCACAACGGCTAATCTATTCTAAAGCGATTATCCCCCCCGTTGTCGTGCGTCCCCTTCCAAAGGGAAACTGTATCACCCAAAACACTCGTCCCCACCATCATCGTGAGAATACAGAGGCTACAGTACCTTTGTTTCCAGACGGAGAGGACACACTCGCGTGCCCTCCGGGTCTTAGTCTCGCCGCGCTCGCAATGAGCGCCATGGTACACCGCAGACCATACAAGTACTTTTGATTGCTCGTAGGGAAAGACGACCGCCAGCCAGTGCATGCCTGATCAACGCTTCAACTACCCCCCCCCCCCCCCCCAATCCGCCGCAGTCATAAAGCACAGTCCTTTTAGTTTTTTTCATTCTTCACTTGGGGGGAGATTTCCTGTAGATGGTTTGAGGGATCCGAGCGTACGGTGTAACCACGCCTCAACGACGGTGACCTGTCTAGGTGCCCTGGACTTAACGTTTTCTCGACGGCACGTGCCCCTCCCAAACCACGCGCGACAACGTTCAGCGAGAGGACGAAGCTTCTCCAGTTCGGGTTGTTTGTCGAGAAGTGCGTGATGTATGCCACGAATGTGGTATCGGCTGAATCAGAGCTAATGGACGAGCTCGATACTCTTCTGCGAAGGGCGGCATGCTTAGATCCGAACGCGTTCATTTCGATCCTTGCCAGGTGGGGTTCATCACGAAAGCATTCGTGCCGCTATATCTGGGTGTACCCATATGATTGCTTCTGACATGCTGCATACAAAAAGGATAGCATTGGCCAAGGAGGCATCGTTTGAGTTAGGTTCCGGAACAAACCCAAACATAGTTTGTTTGGCCCAATTCAATCACCCATTCCCTCGCGCGGTATCGTTCGAGTACGCTAAGAAGTTTCTTCATGCATAATATAGGTAGTACCATAAGTGTCGATAAAACCTACGCATACGTACATACTGAGGCCTTGCTTCATTCATCCATCTGGTGCCTCGTGCTGTCTTCCGCACATCGTGGTGCTACTTGGTGACTCTGCTACGATTTCTGTCGATGTCGGTTTCCTTTGCACAGGTTGTCAGAGACTTCCGGGCTCTCCAAAGCAGCGCGGCAATGGATATCAAACCTTGCTGATCATGGCAGTGTTTTGACAATGCTCAGGGTATCTTAGCCGCGACGGCGCAGTCGGGTATTCGTACCCCGGGAGGCACGGGGGACAACACACCACATTTTGACACACGGAATCGGAGGATTGTTTCCCCTCTCGGAGAATTGCTCACCCCGGCGAACTGGATGCTAGTAATGATCTTGCCTGCTTCCGGGGGGTCAATAGCATGTGGCAAGGACCGAAGTGCTGCAAGAACAATCGAGTTTTTGAGGAACCTAATGAACATCGGAAATCGATTTCAGTTGAGAACATGACCGACATTATCCAGAAGAGACATGGCGAATCATGGACTCTCTCGAGACATGTCCGGAACGCTTTGTATCTAGGTGGTTATAAGCTACTGTTTAGCTAGTTTGTTCGACAAAAGGCGAGTGAGTCTATCCACACTGTTGTGTAGTCTCATGCTGTTAGAACAAGAGAGGCTCGCCTAGAACACCAAGGTCTTACGCTCACCAGAGGGTATACTCACCCGACTTCTGGTTGCACATCAAATGGGAGTTCGTCAAAGAGTTGGCGTCCGACAAGGTCTAGTCTATAGGGCTGTGCCAGTGGTCTCTACTTGTGTTCAGGGCCGCTATGTCAGCGTGTTCCCTGTGCGTGTTGTAAGACTTCTGGCGTTTCGAACAAAGTTCATCGCGGTGTGCCTTGGGAAACGGGAACACCTTTAGGATGTATAATCCACCACGGTTTGATAAAAACTTGATAGAAGGCCGTTTTGAATGTAGAGAGAGTCAACGCTGCCGCCAAGGTCGTGTGTCTCTGTAGATGTTCTTCTCCCTCTGTGGCCGTATCAAAACAACTACCGAGCGGTCATCAACATATCTGATTTCCTGACACACGGATGAATTTCTTTCCTCGATGGTGTCGACGCACCAAGCGTGACCTCGGTCGACTTTGATGACGGTTTCAAAGAACAAACTACAAGGCGCAGTTTTCAGACAGATATATGGCCTTGCAGGCTCTTCTTTCACCTCTTGGTAATCTATTTACCACCGGTAATACGGGCGGGATGCGAAGATTGTTTTTTCCCTCTCTAGGAGCTTCCGTCGTAGCAAATTGCACCACCAAACCACAATAATAACAATAAAAGCAGAGGGGCAAATGGTACAGTGGGGGTACTCAGTGAAGTCAACTACCGCGCAAAATATGGCGCACTCGGCAAGGTACAAGTTCAAATGACGTTCGTTTACATCTCGCGTTTAACGACGTCCACGCCTTCCCCTGTTTCTATGTCGCCCCCCTCACGGCCGCTATCTGTCGAAAGCCTTGATCGTGCCTCATTGCGAGGCTCGTCGCGTGCGCTCACACTTCTACCATCATCTCGATCCTTGTGCTTGTCACTCCGAGAAGCCCCAATTTCCGGCCCGGAAAAGCCCTCCTGGTGGTCACCAGCGTTGTGGTTGTCGCTATCGCTGTCGACTGTTGCTACGACCACTCCTGCTGCCCCTTTTCTGGGCGGCCCTCCTTCTCGCGGTTCCTTCCGCACCCCCGTCGTTCTCCCCTCCCCCCGTCCTTCTCTCCCCTGCTCGGTAGCCGCGTCCGCCGCATCAGCATGCATCTGAGCGTCACGGTCAGCGATCTCCGCCGCTGCCTGCCTAGGGTCCATGCAGCTATTGACGAATACTGCCTCACGGAGGAGCTTCATGAACCCCGTCTCGTCCTGGGGCGGCAGGTTGGCCGTGAAGCTGTAACAATCCTCGTACTCTAGGGCAAGCACCAGTGTCCAGAGGTAGAGGCGGTCCGTCTCCGTGGTGAGGGAGCCTTTGGCGGGGTTGTGCGTAAACCTTTTGATGCGTTTTTGTGGGAGGCAACGGGATAGGGGTTCGACGGGGAGGGGAAGGCTGTCTTGGAGGGTATCCGCCGAGCTCAAGAGGAGGGAGGGGAGGAATCATCATCCCATCCGCGTTTCCTCACATGTATCTATTCTTTGAGGAGCTACGACGGGAGGTAGCAAAGACAACGTCCTCTGCGGTAGATACCCTTCATTGTTATGCCGTGAGTTTGTTTGGTAACAATTTTGCCGAAGGCTTTCTTATAACTCACGAACAAACGTCTTGTATGAACACTGCCATGCCGAGATGTAGACCCACGACGTTGTCTATGCGAAGGGTTCGAGCGAGGATAGTTCCAGGTGTCGGGGGCGAGCCGATGTAAGTCAGATTTTGGCCGAAAAAACATGTTTGATCAAGGAAGCCGGGGAGAATGACACTCTACACTTACGTGAAAACAGTAACTCGATTCTGCGCAGACCGGATACGTACGTCTGTCGGAGGGAAAACGTGCTCATACGCAGGTACAAAGCTATTTACTTGGCTTCCCGTCATTCGTACAGGAACAAAGCGAATCACCTTGCACGGGTTTCCGCGTAGGTTCTCTGCATCAGCTTCTCCCCGTCCGCGCTCAGGCTGAACACGTCCTCCTCGTAGGCGCTGGCGCCGTTCGCTGGCGGCCGCAGCCGGCGCAGCTTGTGGAACAGAAAGTGCTCCGTCCTCGACAAGGCCTGGTCCCAGTACTCGTCGTCTTCTACGTACACCATGTAGTCGCAGGAGTCTAGGACGCACGGGAGCGCCAGACGATCTGCGGAGGGGTTCTACGGAGGGAGGGAGAGGGGGAACGGGAGAAACATTGTCTGTCCGTGTGGCTAAGAGAAGGGAAGCGTAGGTTTGTCTGCCCTTTTGCCCTTTTTTCCGGGGTGGCGGCTCTTCTCGCTGTACGAAGAACGGGAAATTGGAGGTTGAAGAATGAAAAAAAAGAGGGAGAACGCCGTACAACCGCATTTATCTATGTTTCTTATGGGTAAGGTGCAGATCATTGGGTGATTTCCACAACACCGTTGCTCATCATTGCCCCGAAACAGCGACAGCCAACTGCGTTGTTCCGCGGGTGGTCTCACCTGTTGGTTGATGCAAGCGTAGTCGATCCACAAGTAAAACTCGTACGGCTTACGACCCAGCCGTTTTGCCAGCTTCTGGACCAAGTAGCAAACCTGACGTGACGTCGATCCCACGGGGAACGAAGGGGGACGGAAAGCAAGGCGGGCAGTTACGAACCTTAGACATCAGGGCTGAATCAAGCCTTCGTCGGGGGTGTGGTTATGGACCAATCATGCCGCGTGGCACCGGTGGAATTGACTGGCACGATCTTACCGGGAAGATTCAACATCAACGTGTATTTGGACATCACCCCACTGCTTCCCAAGTTCTGTATCCCACGAGGGAAAATTAAGTGCTTTCGCTGAAGAACCCTGCCAAACCGTTGGGGAGGACCGACCCAGGGACCGAAGACGAAAGCAACAGCACACATGAGCAACATGGCGATAGCTGGTATCCCTCTTTCCAACCCGCCGTTGACACCGTTCATGAATTGGGAGGATGAGACTCCAACAACGCTTGGGCGCGGTGTGACGAGCTAGATGCCTGCCGGCATACACGGTTCCCTGTCTTGCAAAGCATCCCCGTCTTTGGCTCTCGGTTTGCCACGATGAGGCGCGTTTACCCTCACGTTGCCCGAAAAACAAAAAAAAGCAGAGCATGCCTGTACTCTCTAACGAAACGTATTTGTCGCTCTGTCACGGCGTGTCATTGCCATATCGCTATGGGATCGTGAGCGACGCAACGTCAAACCTGTCTTGCTTCGACGCTCACGATACCTGGTAAAATCGGGCCTTGCTATGGTCATCGGGGTTCTTAAAGTCAGGCTCCAGCCACCGGTGGGACACATACACCACGATGGGATCTTCCCCAGATTTGTCCGCTCTCGTCATCAACTCGCGCACCGCCAACGGCCTCTTGGACCCGTGCCCTAAGAATCGGTTCCCCGTACGCTGCGGAATCTCGCCGAGCTCCGCCAAGTCGACGAAGGCCAAGAGGTACATCTGGGGGATGTGGACTGGGCTAGACTCCCGGAGGCCCTCGAACGCCGCGCGTCGCTCCCGGGGGGTGCCGAGCGGCCGCAGTCGGCGGAGCGCCCAGGTGATATTCAGCACCGCTTGCGTCGGGGAATAGGTCGCTGCTTTCCCGCCGTTGTCAGCAGCGGCTGCATTCTTGAGCCCCGACGTCGCCCTCGTGGAGCTCAGCCGGCGTCTCAAAGTAGTGGACAAGGGCGTGGGAGGGGACCTCAAGAACGCCTCGGTCACCGTCGTTACCAGTTCGGTGTCTGATCGGGGGGATCTACCGCTCGCGCTGCCCCTGCCTCCGCCGTGCGTTCCCTCGTCGCCGGAAAAATTTTGTTGCAACAGCACCGAAATGCTCGCCGACAAGCGGCTTGACACGCTCGACCGCCGGGGTGCCGGGCGAGATGATCCGCTCTCTGCGCTCCGCTCTTCCGCCTCATCGCTCTCCTCCTGTACTCTAGACGCATTAGCGCCATCCTCTAACCTTCCACGAACCCGGTCGTCTCGAACACAAGCGCCGGTGTCAATTCCCCCGGCTCTTCCTCCCGCCGTCGTTTCCTCTCCCGCCTCCGCTTCTCCACCCCCTGCCATGTGTGTCCCACCCCGCTGCCTCCCGTTCCTCTTTGTAGTGCTTGAAGACGTTCGCCGACTAGGCGTTTCGGCGGTAGGTTGTTCAGAGTCATCGTTGACCATTTCAAGTTGGTCATAAATCAAGTCCCCGCCCGGCATCGCATCCGGGGCTCGACGACGAGCAACTTCCCGTCCTGGCGAAAGCATCGTCTCACCAGTATCCCCCACCCCTTCTCGACAAACGCCTGCGGCTGGTGATGTTGCAATGGTGCCTGGTGTCATCGCAGAGGGCGATACATGTCTATTTATTCTATCATTGTCTCCGTGTCCGGCCTGGGACGAAAACGAGGAGGAGGAGGAGTGCGCTGAGGAGGACGGGGAGGAACCCACCGGAGCTAGGACCCCGCCATTCTCGCCGTCTTTACACCGATCCCGGGAGTACGAGATCGAGAGGGCGGGGGGTAACCGCAGCGCAGCTGATGCCTCGGTTGTCGGCTGAGACGTAGTCTCACCGAGCGCGTCGGCGGCGGAGGTAGCCCTTACCTCGATGCCTACCCTACCGCTCGCCCTCCGCGCTGAGACCATTTCGGACATGCCGATCCATCGTGCCGCTGATCCCGCCACTTTTCGGACCTGTCTCCACCCGTGGACCAGGGGGCGCTCACGGGTATCCCCTTGCGCTTCGCTGATCTTGTCGTCGCTCGCCTTCCTAGGAGGGGACCGCGGCGACCTGGCTCGGTCGACCTTCGTTTTGAGCATGCGGGCTATGGGTGTTGATAACAAGTCGCGCTCCCGCTGTTGGCTGGAGCTACTGATGACTCCCTGGAGATACACACAAGCTTCCTTCATTCCGGATTCTTCGGCGATATCCAGGGGAGTCTGGCCGGTCGAGTCCACCGCGGAAGGGTTAGCTCCATTCCTCACGAGGAAATCGAGAGCCCTGACCATCCCCCGGCCCGCCGCAATGTGTGTGAGGCAACCGACTTCCCCGTGCCTGAGAATGCCCCAGCTCCTCAGATCCACGAACGTTTCCATGGCGGTGTCGGTCTTCTTTGCGGCGCTCGCGAGCCCTTGGGCGGCCCCGTGGATCAGTGTCAGCATCCGGGCCAACAGCACGGTGGAAGCTACGATCGAGGCCGTGAAAGCGATCAGCGAGAAGTAGAAGGTTGCCCCGACGGGGCCGCTTCCGTAGGCGGCACTGTCCTCCAGCTGCGACATGGCAAGCAGGAGCCCCTGGTGACGAAATTTGTTCCAAGATGGGCAGGTTCGGTTCCGGCGGGGGGATCAGTAAGGTAGCCACGGGAAGAAATAAGCGCACAGAACCGATGAAGCATCTTGAAAAGAGGAGAAGCTTAGACTCAGAGGAAACTGAACACAACCCAGCTTGCTCGACTGCGGCAGTTCTAGCCACTGGCTCTGGAGCTGCTGCGAAAAGTGCGTCTTCCTTTAATGTTTGCTATTATTTTCTTATTGTAGACGGAGAGCGGTTGACCACGTTCTTCCGGGGGGGAATATTTACAATTAACTGTCTGTGTGGCCTTGCTCTTGCACTATTTTTTTTAACTTCTTCGCGGCTGCGTAGATTGACACGCGCTACAATCGAGTATCACACGGCAGTCACCTGAATGATGCCGACCATGGAGGGCATGCCCGCGTTCATGCTGATGAGCTTTGCTTCGAGCACACCCCAGCGATCGGTCTCGCGTATGTCGCGCTCCACTTCTCCCTGGTGCGATATCACCTTGCTCCACGCGTGAAGCGAGTTTGCTGTCTGCAGCACGGGAGTGTCTACTGTCAAGCCGTGCAGCCGAGCCTGTCTAACCGTCTTGGTGAGGGCCGCCAGGGCCGCGTATTCGTCGTCGACACAGCCCGGGTGTCCAGACAGGATTGCCTCCGCGGCCTTAAGGATGCAAGTTTCTGGAGGGAGATGCGTGGGTGTTTCCGCTTGCGCCATCGTTCTTTGTGAAAGCTCCAGCTGGTCGTCGTCGTCAATACCATCGCCGTTATCGGCGGTGCTTTGGTCGTCGATGCTGCCGTTGTCGACGCCGTTGGGGTCTGAGGAAGCTGCAACCGCTACAGCGGCAGCGTTGGCTGTCTTGCGTAGGGTGATTACCCCGTGCACGCTCCACGCCAACGACACGGCCGTAAGCGCGATGAAGGCCTGTGACCACAGCATCGAGCGAACCAGGTTGTTCCCCGGGCCGCGGTTCATGATGGCGTACATCATAGAGACTACCGGGGACGCCAAAAGGCTCACCAAAATCGTCACCTGTACACCAGAGGCAGGAAAAAGACGGGCAAGTTTGCGGCTGAGGTCTAGACGACAACCACAGTGCACCTTGTGAGGCAGTATCATTTCTTGTCAGGGCTTTGTCCCACGCAAGTTTCAATACGTACTGTAATTGACGCGATGGCATCATGTGCCGTAGTCAAAATTTGATGTGTGTTCATTGTTCCTCGCTGCGCTGTGGTGAATACTCTCTTCCCGCTTCTCACCCCCCACCCCCTGTCCCCTCCCATTACATTCTACGCGCAAATGGACCTAGGAAAGGGTTGTGTGCAACAGGCACCGACGCGCGACCTTCTCCTGCAAACTACTTTAAGACTCCAAGGATATACCACCGAAGTCAAATTGTTCCTTGGTGTCCAACTAAGCAAAATTGCATTGCGTACCTACTCTTCTGTACCATCAGTGGTATATGGATCAGGAGCATTTCTTTGCGCGCGTCACATGATACCAAACACGAGATCAATATACTCGTTGTTCTTACAGTACAATGAACCTCTGAGTCGCACACCAAGATTGCTAAATAATACCACTATCCTGTAGGTAGATCTAGATCTACATGTATCGTCAACTAAGCCCACCTGGTTCAGCGTCAGCGAGAACAGCGTCAAAAACACAAAAGGCGTGCACACAAGCAGCACCGATACAACGCCAGAGCTCCACTCCGCTGCGAAGACGAACACGGCAGGGCCGACCACGGCCAAGGGCCAGAGGTTGGTGCAATCCAACATCCTCGAACGGCCGTGCGTGTGCTCGTGCGGCTCCCCGGCCTCGTTCTTCACCCTCGACGTCAAGACCATCTGTATGTTGGCTCCTCGGAACCTGTACCCCGAGGCGGGCTTGGAGACGTCCTCCAGGAGCCACCTTGCGCGGAGTTTGCTGTCGATCGAAAACGCCAGTGGGATGCAGGCGTATGGCCACATGTACAGCATCGCCAACCAAAATACGTGGCCTTCGGGTTCTACCATAGCCCCATTGCCCTGCTGGGGAAGTCGGTATCATGGACCAGTTGGCATTGCAGTTACCCCCCCCCGATTTGAGACCCGCCTTTCTCGGGGAAGGCGTCAGTACAGTGAACTGCTATTCACTTGCGTTTTGAAGCGCTCAATGGTTATTGGGAGCACCACGTTGGTCGCCAGTGTTTGGCTACACGGACAACATGTTCCGTTTCAAAACGAAACGGCACGGGTTAACTTGTAAACCAGGAGTCAGAAGTCAGAAGTCCGAAGGGTAGTCTTTCTGTGTGTGTAGACTATTTAATAAAGGAATAATTGGTATTTATTTTTCAGATCATCCGATCTCCGGTCCAGCATCGCCTCATCCGCTTCATGTCCCTAGACTTCCGGCGGCATCTCACTGAATCTTCACCGTAATGAATAGACTTTCAGCAGTCCCATATCCAGCAGGTACTCAATCTTTGCAGCAGTCTAGATATCTTATAGTCTAGCAAGACATCTACGTACATAGTGTGGCGTGGGTCAGACCCTCTTTATGGAAACAAGAATCTTGCAAATAAATCTTGGCATTTTGACCCAAGATTAGCTCGCAATAATCCTCCGCAAAGATTTAAGGAATGATAAAAACACACACAGAAAGACTACCCATTCGAGATATACCCACAGTCGAACGGGATGTATAATCCTCCGCAAAGATAGATTTGCAGTATCGCGATTCCTGTTTTTTTTTTTTCGGAAAAGTTCGTTGTTGTAATATGTGCAGCTCCATGTAAAGCTCTTGCCTCTTCATGTATGTATGTATGCATGCTAGCGTCCGCGAGTCCGGATCGAAGGGTCGATCAATGGTCCCAAACAAAAAACCTATGTGTATCATTGCTGCTGTTGTACTCTGTTGCCTTCTGCGCGATGCGCTACTCTTGTTCGAGCCAATAAGGATCACACTCACACCGCATTCTGGTGCTTGCTGTGGTCTATCTAAAAGAAATTTCCAGGACGCTTCTTAGACTATTTGTTCGAAGCAGAGCTCAAAAGTTCGAAAATTGTTTTGGTGTTGGCCAGCGCTCGTCTCAGTTCGTCTCCTGTCTCCTGCCTCCAGCAACAGCAGTGTTCTCTCTCAGCCCGTTGGAATCCTCAACAAAGACAAGGCCAGGGGTGAGTGATCCCGCAACCCTGAAGAGTATTCAAGACTTGCTCGTAAGACCAGAGCTCTGGGCGTTCATGCCGAACTCTCTACGGTACTGTTTTTCCGTCTCTAGCCAGACAGAAAGTGCGCTGGTGCACGCCCCACGCCCCTCACCGAGATCCGCCAGTGGTGCTTAGACCATGCGAACACCACCCGGTGACGACGGAGAAACGATCCCAAGCATATGAGAGTAGTACTGGGTGTCTTGAGTTCCGTAGGGTTACAGCCGTGTGTGATTGCGAGATCGGGGTATCTTTTGTAGTGGACCGACTTTTACTCACGTACGTACAGGAGACTACAGGAGCATGTACATCGACTGCTGTGCTGCTGTAGTGTACTACCCGGGGTTACAGTAAGTAGCAGCGGAGATCGCAGTCTCCTACAGTAATACTGGAAGCCCAAATGTGGACACTTCCGGGATACATCACTCAAATGCTTATTTACCGCACTGCTGTAGTCACCCCATAGGCTCCGCTGTGTGCAACGCAAGTGAGAACCCTTGGTCCATCATGCTTGGCTGAGGTGGTACGCTGTGTGATATGATGCTGTGTGATGCCTCTCCTGGGCCTCTGACTTGCTGTGCATATCTCCCAAGCCGCGTGCCCCCTAGGTCGTAAAACTTTACATCGCCTGGTACTCGAAAAATTTGCTGATTTGGCTTCAGTATGAAAAGTGTCCCCACGTGTTTTGGGGACACTTGTTATACTGAAGCCAAGTCGCCCTTTGTTTGGCAAGGAGTTCAGATTCTTTGGAGGACTGTTGTAGCTAAGTTGTAGCTCCTCGACCAATGATTCACAAACCTTTCTGCGACATATTTTTTGTCCTCGACCAATGATTCACAAACCTTTTTGCGACATTTTTTTTGTCCTCGACCAATGATTCACAAACCTTTTTGCGACATTTTTTTTTCCTGAGGACTGGGTACTAGGAGGGTTAAGCGAGCGCAAGAGGGTTGCACTTTTTGTTTTGTTTTGTTTTGTTTTTTGTCTTGACTTCAAATCAGCGCTCACAGCAACTGTGCCGTTTACTCCAACCCGTTGTCACACAGAAGGGCTCCTCTCCCTGTGGCCTCCTACCCACCCCTCCTGCGGTGCTTTGCCTTCGATTTTTAATGCGAGAAGAGTGCACCTATCAACGACCTGCTCTTTGTCGTTTCGCCTTTGCCGTGCGTATATCACAACGTGTGTGTGTAGTTGCTCTACACAGAATGATGCGGATCTGCTCGGCCGTGCGGTCCTGCGTGGCTGGAAGCTTCTGCAGCGATACGAGCTTTGGCGACGGGTCATCATATCGACTTCTTCGGCCTGTGGCGAGCTCGGCTGCGGACGAAGAACCTTCTCTCAGACCCCGGTCCTCAGGTTAGACGGCGGCGTCTGTCAGACGTATACGTACGAGCGCGTTTCCGGTGATCGTTTGATGCAGATGAAGCTTGTATCAGAGGAAGCCTCTCTGCTACAGTACCCCAATAAGGAATCAAGAAAGTCTTACACGAGTTAGGGGGTCAATCGATGGCCACAACCACGGCCACAGCTGCAGCCACGGCCATCGTCTGCCAGTAAGTGTTGCGAGAAAACATACTGGGGAATGAACCCAAACGACAACGTTGGGTTCTTCGCAGCTGGCGGTGCTAGGGTTGGTGAGTGTTGTGACATCCACCATCGGTGTGAGGCAGGATGTCGCGTGGCTCACCGGGGCATCGATGCTTGAGAGACCATGCCCCAAAGCGCTACCGTGGTTGAGGCGGGACAATGTATCATCTGACGACGGCAGTCGCCTGGACGCGGCAAAATCACAGGAAGAGTTGTTCATCACTGATCAAGCGATGTTTATACTTGCTCTTTTGTCTTTTGCAGGCCGAAGCGCTGGAAGCACGTGTTTGTGCGTTGTGGAGGCAGTTCTGTCGACAATCGTCTTCGTTTACATCATGGGAAAGACTACCAATGGCAACATCGGGGACGATGGGGTCCTTCTGCTGCCTCTCGTGATTGGTTGTACTGCTTTTGCTGTATGGATCGGAGCGTCTCACTCCCTTTGCACGCTGAGAGTACAACGAGCCGTGGACAAAATTCGGTCGACAGACAATGAGGAGACCAATCGTCGCCTGGGGCGTGGTAGCTCGGCGAAATCTTTCGATGTTGACAACGGTGTAGATGTTTTCGAGTACCACGACATCACAACCATGTCTTTGTATTTTTTGAGGGGGGGCATGGTTTGGTTGCTGGTCCTACTTTTCGTGACAGCACTGTCTGTGGTACACTTGTTTTTGTACGTGTCAACATGTCAGAGTTGGTCCTAGTTTGCGTGCCAGTCGTTCCCGTGGTATTTCCTCCCGCTGCTGTGTGCCGTCACCCTTTTGTGGACGGGATGCTTCACGCGGTGCCTGTACCGGCGTAGTACGGTTGAAGCCATCCGGACGTTTGGGGAGCCGTGCCGTACAAAGACCTTCTACCTCCATGCATGGAAATATCTGTTGGCAGGAAGCTTGCTGTACGCCACACTCTTGTACGTCTCTCCGGCTCCTCCCGTATGGCGCTGGGCTTTGATCGCGACCCACAGTATGAGGGCGGTGAAGGTTTTGGTTTCCCTCCATGGCCAGCGTTGCGATGCGGTAGAGGAAGACGGAGGGGTGGCGGAGGATGTGCTGTAGGTAGGGGCGTGTGTTCTCCTGTGGTATTTCTACTACGAGAAGTGATATACATGCAGCACAGGGGAATAAGTGATGCGCGTGTGTTTTCGCCCAAGATGTGTGTGACCGTTGCTTTGAACGCTTGTTCAACACCACCAAGAGAGGTTGCTTGCAGCGTATGTGATGCAATATCACGGGAAATAAGTTACCAGCGCGTTGGACGTTACTAATTTATTTAGCTATTTTTTTACATTTGTGGCTCGGCCCCGGAGTCAGCACGGTGAACTCTACCTTTTGAGCACCTACCCTTACCTTGTTTACTAGTTTTCCTTGGTTTCGTGTCCTTCATTGCGTAAGGTTTTGATTCTCCCCAACTGTTGGGATGTGTTCAGCATCCTCCACCTTGGGGTTTGTTATGTTTTGGTTGCAGAGTTAGTTTTGATTCTCCGTGACTGGTGCATTTTGTTGTGGTTAATGTTTTCTGTTCCGAAAATACAACACTTTTCATCTGCTGCCGTGGATTACTAGGGTCCGAAAGACAGCAACGAATTCAACGTGTGCTTACGATGTATCTGTGCTTGAACTGACCATGTCATGATACATGTACGCAGTGATTAGCTTCGCTGCGGGCAACAGCCCCCAGTATAAGAGATGACTGGGATGAATGGGAGCGGGGGGAGGTCCGTCGTGCGTCGTGTCACCAACTGCTGTTAGTACATCTCTGGCTTTATCCACATTGCACCAGGCATACTCCAATTCACCATAGCGTCACATGGACGAGCTATCTATAGAATCTGTAGCGTGTTTGCGGGGGTGGGGGAGCAATCGCCGGGATCGCCCCCAACGTTCAGGCAGCAGAAATACACTGCTTGCCTTAAAGGAGCTTCGTGGTTGTGCTAGAACCAACCGGGTGGATTCGAACCCGTAGGAAAATGTCTGCTACTGCTGTACAGATTTTGGTCATTTGTAATGATGTTCGTCCTTTCATGCCTTCGACGGCCGTTTACAGGCACGTCATTTACACCAAGTCCAATAAACACAAAGCATGAAACGTGGTGCTCTAAAGAGGGGGGCGGCCCAAGTTAGGATGGCCCATGCTATTCACCTGGAAACAACGGTATCTAGTAGGAGATTTAGGGTGCGATGGTCGACTTGCACTTGGTCAACATCATCATTTTGCACATGGGACGGAGCAAAACTACGCGAAAAGGCTATAACCCTCCACCCAAGGTGACCGCTATTTTAGACATGACAACGTCCAATAAATATGGATTAAACGTACTACACACTTCCTATGCGATTTGTTTGTGATTCTGGTGGGTGTGCTTTCCTCCGAGACGGACCGAGTCCTCTGCCAACCAAAATACGGCGGCCGTTCACGACAAGAACATCCGACGATAAGTGACTCTACACGCAACACATGAGCGTATATGAGCGTCCTTTCAAAAGAACCGGGAGTGAGTGTGTTTGCTTCGAGTGGCGTCCAGCAAACAAGGGAACCAGATGACAACGGTACCTTCACGTAACACACGGCCGGCCAGCTGAAGGCCAGAAACGTCCTGGACAGTTAAAATCCACAAGGGATTATCTGTACCGGTCAAACCTCTAGATAGAACATTGTTTCCCAGGCCCAAAAGGTCGAAACTTGAGAACTTGGCCATAGCAGGCGCTCACCTATGGGTCATAGTAGAACCTATATAGCCGCTGTTAGGCTACACCACAGAGAAGATGCATATGAGAAACAGGCCAGGAGGCACGAAGCACCAAGTTTCGTTTCAAACGAAACGGCACGGGGGCGGCTGTATAATGGAACGGTCTCCCAGATCGCCGGTCTCCGGTTTTCGTTTCCAATCCAATCTCACTATTTAAATCACTCAAGCTGTCCGCTTCCTGTCCTCATGTCCCAAGATTTCCAGCCGGCATCTCACTGAATCTTTCAGCGTAAGGACTAGACTAAAAAAAATCCAGTATCCAGCTGGTGCCACTCAATCTTCGCTGCAATTTCTTCATTACATTATTCGTACTGGTCCAACTGACGCGGACGCATTCTATGGTCAAAGGCCAACTACAGTGCCCACACGTTTGTTTCTAGAAACCAAAAAGGAAGGCGTCCGGGTCAGTTGGACCAGTACGGACATTAGAAAGTGCTGAGAGGAGACCGGAACGGTTTATTAACGTGAAGACAACAACAACAACATCAACAACAACGAGAACGGAAATAATGCTGGACCCCGAAAATCCTCCATACGCAATAATCAAGGTGGAGGATGCCGAACGCAACCCGACAGTCGTACAGAACCGAGCTCGAAGCCTTATGCATTGAACCAAATGAAACAAACGTGCAACCAAAGAACAAGATACGAGGCCAGGGAAGGTGCCACAAAGGTAGAGCTCACCGCCCTGACTGCGGGGTCGAGCCACAAGGTTTCAATAGCTAAACCCACCCCACCGTTTTTGGTGAATGTCATGCGTTCGTTGTTGCATCACGCACGCTCCAAGCAACCGTCCTTGTTGGTGGTGGTGTTTAAAGCAACGATCACACACCTTTGGCGATATGCACGCGCTTACTTTCTTCTGATCCGGCTCTTTCTAACCATGCCTCATTTCTCGTCCCAACGGCTTGGTTCCTACTGCCTGCGAGTAGTAGCGCACCGGCCCATACAAAAGGACGGAAAATGCACACCGATGTTGAAACTTCTCTATCTCCACTGCTGCTGTCTGTCTCCATCGCTTGTATCTCGGTTTCCTACACAAGCCTGGGATGCATCTGTCACTTTTCATAGCATTACCGTAGGAGAACAAACACCCCTACCTACAGCATTTTGTCCACCACCCCTGCCCAATCCTCTACGTCGATGCAACGCTGGCCACGGAGGGAAACCAAAACCTTTACCGCCCTCATACTGTGGGTCGCGATCAAAGCCCAGCGCCATACGGGAGGAGCCGGAGAGACGTACAAGAGTGTGGCGTACAGCAAGCTTCCTGCCAACAGATGTTTCCATGCATGGAGGTAGAAGGTCTTTGTACGGCACGGCTCCCCAAACGTCCGGATGGCTTCAACCATACTATTCCGGCGTAGACACTGTGTAAAGTATCTCGTCCAGTAAACCGCGGCGACACACAGCAGCGGGAGGAAATACCACGGAGAAGACTGGCACGCAAACCAGGACCAACTCTGACATGTTAACAAGTTCAAGAAGAAGTATGCCACGGACAGTACTGTCACGAAAAGTAGGACTAGCAACCAAACCATGATCCCCCTCAAAGTATTCAAAGACATGGTTGTGATGTCGTGGTACTCGAAAACATCTACACCGTTGTCAACATCGAAAGATTTCGCCGACCTACCACGCCCCAGGCGACGATTGGTCTCATTGTTTGTCGACCGAATTTTGTCCCCACGGCTCGTTGTACTCTCAGCGTGCAAAGGGAGTGAGACGCTCCGATCCATACAGCAAAAACAGCACTGGCAATCACGAGAGGCAGAAGAAAGAACAAACCGGTCGCGCGACAGCCATTGCGAGCCTTCCCCATGATGAACATGAAGACGATTGTCGACAGAACTGCCTCCACAACGCACAAACACGTGCTTCCAGCGCTTCGGCCTGCAAAAGACAAAAGAGCAAGTATAAACATCGCTTGATCAGTGATGAACGACTCTTCCTGTGATTTTGCTGCGTCCAGGCGACTGCCGTCGTCAGACAATACATTGTCCCGCCTCAACCACGGTAGCGCTTTGGGGCATGGTCTCTCAAGCATCGATGCCCCGGTGAGCCACGCGATATCCTGCCTCGCACCGATGGTGGGTGTCACACCGCTCACCAACCCTAGCACCGCCAGCTGCGAAGAACCCAACGTTGTCGTTTGGGTTCATTCCCCAGTGTGTTTTCTCGCAACACTTACTGGCAGACGATGGCCGTGGCTGCAGCTGTGGCCGTGGTTGTGACCATCGATTGACCCCCTAACTCGTGTAAGACTTTCTTGATTCCTTATTGGGGTAGCAGAGAGGCTTCCGCTGATACAAGCTTCATCTGCATCAAACGATCACCGGAAACGCGCTCGTACGTAGACTACACGTCTAACATACGCCGCCGTCTAACCTGAGGACCGGGGTCTGAGAGAAGGTTCTCCGTCCGCAGCCGAGCTCGCCACAGGCCGAAGAAGTCGATATGACCCGCCTCCAAGGTTCGTATCGCTGCAGAAGCTTCCAGCCACGCAGGACCGTTCGACCGCGCAGATCGACATCATAGGGGCGCCTACGGCGTGATGTACGCACGGCAACAACGAAACGATAAAGAGCAGTGTGTTGCTTGTGGTCGCCAAAAGAAAAACGGCAGCGTACAACATACACAACCGGAGCTAAATGTTCCGCTGGAGCAGCAAAGCAAAACACTGATACCACTCATGGTCTCCGCATTTATTCATGAGGGAAACACACGTCGAGCGTGTCCTGACAATGCCAAAGCGGGAGAGCAGGGGTAGCTCGATTAATTCCGCTAGTTTAGTATCGTAGGGTCAAGGACACTTGACGCCGCCACTCATGGCATAGACAACTCCTTGTTGGGGACGTAGAACAGCTGCTATTTCTGCCACCAATATTCTTGAGAATAAAGCCCGTCATCTCCGCCTATTCATTTATTATTTATTATTATTATCATCTGTTCGGCAAGGATACACATCATTCTGTTCGGCTGGTTGGTCCAACTGATTCAAGATCTTTCGTGGGCACAAGATGCCCCCCCAAAGGGTATCACAGGCTAGACTACTGCGTGTAAGCTAGCCCAGGGTGGTTGCCTTGCACAATCACCGGTAGGTCCAACCTTCCTACTTTTCGTCCAACCCCACTTAATTCGCTTGGTTTGTGCATATACCCACTGGGTGTGCAGCCCCTCCATTCCCACCCGTGGGCTACATAGTCCAGTGCGGTCTCCGCTGCTGTTCAGCCCCGGTGTCCGGTGTCCCAGCCGGCGGGGGGTACTACCGCGAAGTCTATGCAATATTTCAACCGTTCGTTGCTGCTGCCAAAGTCGGTCCGTCAGGAGTCACCCCGATCTTGCAATCACTGCAGGTCTACAGTAGTCTACCAACCTCAGGACAACAGCAGGAAACACCCTGCCGTACACTCGATTGTAGTCTATTAATAGAATCTCTGTCGTTACGGGTGGTATATTGCATGTGGTCGAAGTCCACACTCTGGCGGATCTTGGCAGGCCACAGAGGGAAGAAGCTGCTACTGCTGTGGTTATATCAATCGATCGTTTTTGACCCGAGTTTGACATGAATGCCCAGAGCTCTGGTCTTAAAAGCAACCCCGCTAGACCATCTTGTCTTCTCTCTCGCGTTTCGCACACCCACTGCCTTCAGGATTGCGGGATCACTCACCCCTGGCCTTTTGCCTTGGTTGCAGGATTCCAACGGGCTCTGTGAGAGGACACTGCTGTTGCTGTGGAGGCAGGAAAAGGAGACGAATTGAGACGACCGCTGGCCCACACTGCACACTACCACAATGAGGAACCAACAGAGTCCTGCGTGCATCCTGCATCCTGCATCCTGGAGTACAATTTGGGAACTTCGAATTTTCGGGTTTGGGAAGGGTCCTGGAAACTTCTTGATAGAAAGTGAGAGGGAGAGCCTCGGCCGTGTAGCCGAGAGATTTTGAAGCACGAGTGGCGTATCACGCAGAAGGAAAAATAGTATGCATACAACAGCAGCAAGGCTACGTAGAGGAGTTTGTCGCTCTTGGGGCTTGATCGATTCTTCGACTGGCACGCACCACGCACCACATAGACTCAGCAACGACGGACTTTCTTTTCCCGAACAATAAAAAAATAATACACAACACACGAGACACCAATCACGGGGTTGATTCTTGATTTGGTTCCCGAGCGGAACCTGCGGAAATTGCCCCGCTGCTGCTGCAGCAACGTCGCAACCAAACCAGCGTTTTAGATAGGGCGCGAGGCCTTGTGTGCGGCAACCGCAAGTTGCCGCAACGACACGCCGAAGGCGTGTTGCGGCACTTGAGCCCTCCGCAGGGGCCCCCCGGGAGGGCGCACCCCGCGTAGGGGCCTTGCCGGAGGGGCCGTCGGAGGCAGATTTTGGGACGAAATTCGACGTAATTCTTGCAAAAAATCATTCAAAATCAGGATACAGTAGTAGTCTAAAAGTGTCAATTGTATTTTTTTGCACCTGTTTATCGACAGAATACGTCTCTTTCACCAGCGAGAAAGGAGAGATCTATGGTTTTTTCTTGCCTGTTTTTTTCTCGCCTACGGCAAGAAAAAGGGCCTAAAATCTTTTTCTCGCCGGTGCGGTGATAATTTTTTTCGCCAAGGTCGAAAACATGTGCGGCATGATACGCTCTGTTGCAACAGAGGCCCCGTCTCGTGTTGCGGATATTATATATCCCAGATCGCCTCCAAATTGTTGCGGGGCCGCAACGCCGCAACGCCTATTTTAAACGCCGAACCAAATGCCCTCCAACTTTTGGCGCATGAGCACAGCAGCAGCATAGCCCTCCAGCTGTACCCCTCCACGTGCGTGCGTGCCGGGGAAAAGGCTCGGCTCGCTCACAAACATCACACACAGAAGATTTCTCCCGACGCAGTTCACCAACAGCGGAGACGGGAGACTCGTGACTCCTGCGGCGGGGAGATCTACACACACTTACGTGTGACTGTTCGGATTGTTGCAGCTGGTTGCCATCGGTTGCCAGCTGTTTCAGGACCTGTTTCGTTTTTCTGGCCGACGCCGCTGAACCCCCACTGCTGTTGGACGTCGGCCTTCATCGCATTCTTTCAAGTCCCGCCTTTGGCCGGCCTCACCGCACCTTCTAACTACAGGACCTCGTCATATGGTCTTCAGCTACAGTACCACAAGTTCGTACTCGCGCCTGCTCTTTTTTTTCCATCACAAGAATGTATTTTCACGAAGCAATTCCACGAAGAGAAACAAAGTGAATCGCGAGTCACGACACGGTCACGACACGGTTCACATCGTAACAGAACAGGTTCATTCGCTCATTCATCCGTTGTGGCGGCGCCCGTGTCTCGTCTCGCCACCCCGTCTTGCCACCCCCCGCTCTGATTTTCCACCAGATATTTTACTGTTGTGCCAAAGCTGTGCTGGGAACCTGTGCGTCCACCGGGCAAACCCGGCAGCATCCTTTGAAGGTGTGGTAGATGTGACTGTTGCCGTTATCTGTGTTCTTTGTCACTTGGCGCGTACGGTTGCAACGCCGTGTGAGAGCCCCAACACCCCCTCAACCTACAACGCTTTAACCATACAAACAGGATCGGCGCACGACGCAGAGATTTCCAGCAGCACGAAAGACAGAAACAACGTGGCTGCGATGAAGAATTTTGGGATGCGCAAGAGCTGCTGTGAATTGTTGTTGTTGTTGTTGTTGTTGTTGTTGTCGTTGTTGTCCACATTAAAAACCGTTCCGATCTCTCTCTACCCAGTACCTTCGTATGTCCGTACTGATCCAACACTCGACGCGGTCGATTCCCGTGGTCACAGGTTAACTTACCCTAAAAAGGTACACTCAAAGAAACTGGCCCTGAGGGGTCCGCAAGTCAATAGAAATCAACGACAGATATTCTGGAATCCTCCACTCCCTCTGCGCGCTATGCGAGGTATCAACTGAGACTAGGAGTCACTATCTATCATGGGCCGGAGAGAAAGAGGTACACCCCCTTGGTTCAATCTTGGTACTTCACAACGCAAGCAGAGACAAGGCCATCTAGCACAGAAAAAGAGAGAAAAAAGAGAGAACAAGAGAGAACAAGGGAAAAAATAACAAAATGGAAACAGTAGAAGAGAAAATAAAAATGAAAAAAAAATGAAAAAGGGCGAGGACAAAAAGGGACCAGGCCGAAAATAACAAGACATAAGAGGCAGAAACAGGCACACGGTGGAGAGACCACTAACGAACAAGCAAACACGCAAACATGGCCACCAACCAGCGATACATTGTAATGGTACGTCATCACTACTGGGGGGTTGGTGCAATGGTGCAGCGTTGGGGGGGGGGGAATTGGCTAAAAGAAATTCAACCCGGCACGTATCGTGCCACTCGGTCCGTCTCTTCTCGTTTGCTTTTCCCTCTGATTGAACGTGGGCGAAAGAAAAAATGTTGCGGTGTCCAGACGCCTTGCAGGTGTGTGATGTATCGACATGAACCTTGGCCGTGATGTTGCTCTTGGAAGTAAGTCGTGGTGCTCAGTCTCGTCTTGAACAGATTCAAAGTATCGAGCTTGACTAAACTGGTTTTGAACGCAACTGAAACTGAAAGATCGCCTGGCAATCACACACGGGATACGTGACACCACCGTTGGAAAGCTTGACCAATGGTGTGATGACAACCGACCTTGATCTTGACTGAACTCGAAAAGGGCCGAAAGGTCACCCAGTGATCACACACGAGATACTCCATTTGGGAAGCGTTATGCAGGGAAAAAACTCCGGTCGTTGTGGCAGAGGAGCGGTTGGGACTTGTCTTTTCCAGCATATCACGCAGTCTACCTCCGCATCCCATCTCCCAAAATTACTTCCATAGTTCACCATTCTAAACTCAAGGTAAATGAGGCGACATGGTGGGTGCGTGACTGAGTTAACGCAAGTTTTGTTGCAACTTGCTCGACAACTGGCTCTTGGAAGACAAATGCTCCAAATCTTCATGTGCGCAAACAATCACGGAAGGCAAACAATACATACATATCACGGCGTCAAGGATGACACAGCAATTAGGAGACGTCCGTTTGTGTGTTCGAGTCTTTCTGCACACAAAGCATCAGAACTTCAACCGGAATCAGTCAAGATCAAGATCGGTTGTCATCACACCGACAACGAAAAGCAGAGAGACAGCAGTATAAGGAGAACGACGGTAGTCAAGTCTCCCCGAGCTGTGGGCCCAGCTCTAATACGCAACATATCATGTGACCCAACCCACAACGTCACAGCATCACTGGTAAGCCTCTGCGGCACCAATCATTACCTAGCGTTTTAGGTTGCAGGCTCCAAGTGTCCGAAGAAAAGCCTGGGGCGTTTGTCAGTTTTTGGAGCATTGGTGACTGGTGGTTTCTGCCGTGACTGGTGTCGAAGTTGTCCGCAACCTGGAGATTTTGATCGCAGAGGACGGAGATCATTCTACCTCGTCGCCCCCGAACTCTCGCCACGCTTACGCGTCCGGCGTTCCACACGTAAGCAAGAGCCACTGCGGTTTCTGTGCAAAACGCGTATACAGCACGTTTGATTGCAGCAGCGGCGTGGGAAGCCGTCACTCAAAGGTTCGCAGTATACCATACCCGCAACGGCAAACAGGTGTAGGAGATTGGGCAGTCGACAAAAGACATCAACATTCTTACAGAAACTTGTGCGCGCGACCATACCAGCATGGACATTGAACAACACGAAAACACATATTTTGTGGTGGCACTCTAAATGTATATTCAGTCATATTTGGTTTCGCTCGGCGTTAGAGTTTGGGCGCTGGACTCTTTCTTGGGGATGTCTGCGCTATCCTGTTTGCGTTCTGAGGTAGTTTTTTCTGCCGTTTTTTGTTGTCAATTTCTCGGACCTTTACTGGGCTTCTCGGTTTGTACGCCCGCTACTTGTGGACAAGGGTTTGGAGAGTGCTGAACGACGTACTGGGTAAACGTCAGATTGATGTTGATGTAAAGACAACAGCAGCAATGAAAAAACAACACCGATACCCGAAAGTATCAGCGATTGTGTCGAGTACCCTTCGTGTGACTCTGTGGGCACTCAAGGCGATTCGCGCTCGGCCCGATGCCTACCTTCATGGCTGTCGTTCGACTTCCAGTTGACTTACATCACTCCGGCTCAACAGGGAGACGAAGGTCATGGTAGTATTGTACGATCGTGCATGGTTACAGGATCTGCGCCTCCACCTTCTTGTGCTGCTCCTATTTGTCCAGATCAACCAAGCTGCAGGCGAAGACTTATTTCAGTATGTTGTCAGGTTGCTCTCGGCGTTCGAGCAAACGGTATTCGAGAAAGCTTGCGAGAAGAGTGCGACTCGCAGGCACCGGAGCAGTGATGGGCCTCGGGAGGAGGACAGAGGTGGTGGTAGCCCGCACGGCAACGCCGCTTCCAAGGCGGAGGAGGTGTCTGATGCAATGGTTACTGGCTTCAAAGATGGCCTGATCGACTTCGAACACCTAAAGCAGTCGATTGGTGAGCAAAATTTCAACGTGTCTAATATGTAACGGACGATTTTCGAGTGTCATGGGATATTTCCAAGTCTACGATGACGAAGAGGCTCGTGCTCTGCAGCCCCTTTTTTGGTTGACCCCTCTCGTATTGACGAAACAAGAAGGTCGTTTCTGCAGCTCCTCTGTTGGTCAGCCCCTATTTCCGTAGGCGATCGTATCAGCATGGAGTGTTCCTGTGTTCTTGCACGCACCCTCATTTCCCTTTCCCCTCGTGGCCGGCCTTCGCCCGTATGGCGAGCAGATCAAACATTCGGACGGGCATGGGCGGCCTCTTCATTAACATGTGAAAAAAGCCTAATGTGCTCCGAAACAGCACAATAGTATGCTGTGTTTTTTGCGTGCGAGGCCTCAGACTCCTGGAGTTGCGGCCTCTACCGCCTCTGCACTGCTACACGAACAGCTCCGGGTAGTGAAGTATCCAATGATGACTCCAAGGCGCTGCATATGTTTGTTTCGATCTCGATGATGCTACGTCCTGTATCTACCAGGAACCTCGTATTTAAACGAGCAGGCGAACGGGGATGCTGATGGGGCGCTGGAGAGGTTAGGATATTGCGTCGAGATATTCGAGCGGTACCCTGGGGTGTGTCGCTGCATGTTACAGTGGTGAGTCGATCGCATGAACATCACCACAAAGTGGTACTCTGGCTGCGATTGGTGGTCGTGGCGAGTTCTGGAAGAAGCGTCGCCGCGAGTCTGGACGAGGATTAGTACCCCTGAAGAAGTCAGCACTGTTGTTTGGTGGGCTGTACGGTACGACATTGCATGTTAAATATTCTCATCTTGTTTTTCTTCTCCTCTCGTACCTTCCGCCGTGTACAGGTGTCACCTTCCGCACGCTGCCGTGGCAGCCCTTGCAGCGATTGATGATTCCAGAGCTCGAGAACTGCACAACCGGTTGCGGGAGGCCTACAATCCGTCGCGCCCCACTGCCTCTCGGCCAGCGCCACCTTCGGAGGAGTGGCAGGGGCTGTCTGCATTCTGCGATGATTTCCAGTGCAGGTGCGTGGGGGCGAGGGAAAGCCAACAAAAAGCAGAGCCCAAGGGTCCACTCGGGCAGCTGAGCCACAAACAAGTGTTCTGTAGGATTACCTGTTTCGGCGGTTTTATTTTGGCTCAAACCGTGGTGAAAGTTTCGCTAGAGCGCTGGGCAAGGAGCTTGGCGTGACAGTGTGAAAGCAATATTCGAACCTCGCCCTTGCTGCCTCTCATTGATTCGTCCATATTTCTTTGCAGGTTGTTTGAGGCTATCGTCGCGAGAAAACCCTTGGGCGCTTTCTCTACCCCACCCGACTGTACCAGCAACTGCGAGGGCTTGCAACAGACTCATTGCAAGGACGAGGATTGTCGGTGAGGAACACCATGGAAGCATCGTGTCGGCGGAGGTCATTCCCGAGGACGTGGTCGGTTCGATCATGATTTCCCCTTGCAGCAACGCCGACACACCAATGGCATCTACTACTAGCTCGTGGGAGTTGAACGCACAGTCTGCGCCACAGATGAAACCAGGATCGAGCTCGTCTGCTTCGCATGCCCAAAGTGAATCGGGAATGGGAGGATTAGGTGATACGGGCGTTTTCGACGGTGCGGTCGAGGGGTGTAGTGGCGGCGTCTTTTCTGGCTTGGTGGCCCAAGTTCCGGATATGGCCTTGACATCGTCGGGGTTGAGAGACGTGGATGGGACCACACGGGAGACCGGAGATGATACAATTGCTGAAGCAGACTGGCTGGATGTACTTTGCTTTGTTACATGCAATCGACGAGTCCGGCGCTTTGAGGTTGGCCACCTTTTGGTTGCTTGTGCCAAGCTCTCATGCAACGTGGCGGCTCTTGAATGTATGTACGAAGCGTCATCTTGAACGTGTGCTATCATATTAGCCCGGTTGGTCGAACAACCTGTACACAGCAAGTTTTTTTGTTTGGCATCTCATGCCAACGTAACCCTCCTTGGAGGCACCGTCCGTGTTTGTCGAAATAGCCATGAAACGCATCTCTTTGGGATAATCGATCGTTACACAGGAGATGGTACGTCTTTGCTCGAAAACACCGACACTTGGATGATTTCACTGCCCTTGAGCAGCTGGCCATTTACGCCCTGCACGTGAACCCCGTTCCCCCCCCGGCTTCATGCGACTCGGCGAATCCCTCATGCCGCTTCGCGCTTGGTGATGTGAGAGCCTGGTCCGGTGAAAACCCGGCGTGCTCCGTCCAGGCTTTGTAGGGGTGCGAGGTCAATGGTCTAAGGACTGCGGCATGCACGACTATGGGTACCCCCCCCCCCCCCCCGGCTTTTGCGACAAACTCCTCCTCCAAAGGACTTCCACAGTAATGCCCAAGATCACAAGTACAACGGACGATCGTAAATGCCAAGTGAAATACGGAGGAAAAACGTCTACTGCAGAGCTCTTAGCGATTGGGTGTTGGTGTTCGTCCTTCCATGCCTTGGATGACGGGTCACAGGGTTTGCCTTTTCCGCCGATACCCAAGAAATACAAAGCTTGAACCATGGTGCTCTTGTCGCCCTGCTGGAACCGCCTTCGTGAGAAATGAAGCTTAGGAGAGAATAGAACAGGGAGGGGGTACGCAGACCCTATCCCTGACCCTAACCCTAACCCAACATGTTCACTTAGTAGAACAAGCGTGCGAAGGCTACCGCCCTGCTGGTGGAAGGCCATTTCAGTCGTCGTCTTCGTCTTCATCGTCACCGTCGTCGTCATCGTCGTCATCTGAATCATCGTCTCCATCGTCATCCCCGCCCGAGTCTATGTCGTCTTCGTCTGAATCATCATCATCGCCCTCGGACCCTTCCTCCTCCATGTCTGCGGCCGCGCTGTCACCGCCGATGCAGGTAGCACCCGCCCGACGCATGTCGATCTTTGTCAGAGGCAGCTTGTCCCCTGCGGCTTTCCCCTCTTTCATGTAGTACTCCAAGGGCTCCATGCCGGACTCACCGGCCGCAGGGTAGAGCTGCGCTCTCAAACAAGGAGAGGAGGGGGGCGGCATAAGTTGGGATGACCCGTGTTATGCATCCGGAAACAACGGTGTCCGTAGGAGACGGAGGGTGCGATCGATGACTTGCACTGGCGAACATACCTTTCTGGACATGAAACGAAGCCACTACGCCAAAAATCTATAGCTCTCCAAACAACAAGTGACCGCTACGTGTACAGTAGACAAAACAACGTCCAACAAGAGGGATAAAACGTGTCGCACAAATGGTATATCTGCAATTTATTTGTCCTTCTGTCGTGTGCGTACTTCCGAGACGGACGTACTCCTCCGTCAACACAGAAACCGGCGACCGATCACACACGACGAAAAGTGACTCAAGACTCCCACAGATCATCAGCGTCCCTTTAAAAAGAGCCGGGACCGGGTGCACTTGCTTCCAGCGGCATCAAACAAAGAACGGAACCAGGTGACAACGGTACCTACACGCAACACACAGCTGAAGGCCAGAAACGTCCTGGACAGTTTTATCCACCAAGGATTGTCTGTATCGGCCAAACCTCTAGATATGACATTGTTTCCTTGCAATATCTCTCGTTGTTCCCCCTGGAGTCCTACGTGCTGCGGAAACGCACGCACACACCTCGAGGAATACTTCCAAGTCCACCGTACCGTCGAACACCCCGACTCCTGTCTGCACCCTGAGCTTTCGGCCATCCTTGAAGCCCATGGTGCAGAAGTGCTGCAGGGGGGTTAGCGCGTGCCCCTTTACCTTGATGTGCAGGCCTTTGCGGTATCCCGCCCTGAAAAAGTGCCTAAACTTCTTCTGGTACTTTCGCTTGTACCACCTGACAGGGCGAACACGACACCGGGGGGGGGGGGGGGGGGGGGAATCCAAATCCGGCATGCCCTAATCCTTTGACCCTTGACCCCCCACCCCCACAAAACCGGGACCGAACACCCCGGGTTCTCCCCGGAACAGGCTCTCGCATTACCAAACGCGAAACCCCGTGAGGGATTCCGCGAATCCCATGAAGGGGGAGCTGGATCTTTTTAAGGGGGTTCGGCAACTTGTGGTTATTTCCTTGGGTACGGAAGAAACCTACCTATGACCTAATTTATTTTTGGGGGGGTTCCCTTCCGGAAAAAGTTGTAAGCCCCGGGAAAATGCCCCAAGGAAACTT